AGATCCACTCTTGGAGTATCTTTGGAAGAGCTGCTCTCATTGAAATCCAGACATCACCGAATGTAAATTCGTTGGAAGGCATGGAAGGGGTGGCTCTCATATCAGGCTCAAACCACAGTTCCACCTTGAAGCTGATACTTTCCAAACCAAATCAGATGAACCCAGAGGTGAGAATTCTTCCTAAATTACCTGGGCACAATAAGAAGAAGAAGGCCAAGAGCAGAGACCAGGTCATGATGAAGAGCTGATGCTTTTGGGAAACTCCGATTAGGGGACTGTTATAGTCCCTTTAAACCCCAAAGAATCTGAGTCCTCCCCCTATATGCAAATTCAGCTTGCATCTTATTAGCATCTTATTAGCTTATTAGCTTATTATTAGCATCTTCTTCTTGGATGAGAAGAATTGCACTGGAAGGCAAGAGATGGTTTTCTCCTTCTTTTTCACCTCTCGTTTCATTCATCTCACTTGGATACTAGAAATACTTGAGTGATCATGTTACAGTAACGTTTTTGGTCTAAGGTCCCCGTGGAACTCTTTCTGTCCTCATGTATGATGGACCTTTCTGAATATCTGCTGATATCAGATCTCTCCCAATCTTGTTACTTGAACAACTGATTGGCCTAATTCAGGCAAAAATGTTTCTAAAGCACTAGTTACATCCTTCAACCATTTAACCCTCCAAGAAAATAAATCCCCAGGAATTGTTTCTGTGGCAGGCCTGGGATGAGAATGTAGATTCCAGCTGATTATTTCTGTTTGATGCCATAACAAAATTCTTTCTAGAAAGCCAAGGTCATCCTTTGTCTCTGCATCTCTGCATCTGACCGGAATTGGATGGGTGGAAGCTGCCAGCCTGGCAGTGGGAGATTGGACCATGTGATGGACTGGTGGGTTTGGGGGCAAGATCTTGAACTTTCAACTGAGTGGGGAAAACCGGGAAGCTTTCAGATTTGTGTTTCCCCAGATGTGCCAACATGGCTCTCTTAATAAATTGGAACTTTGAGCAATCCTTTGCCTTGTACTCTGATTTTCTTTCGGATGCTATTTAGAACCCTGACACAACCAATGGAACAGAAGTTGCCTTTGGAAGTTGTGGGAGCTTCATTCCTGGAAGCTTTCAAGAAGAGACTCTTGTATTACTGTCTGAACGAGAAATGTAAAAGTTATAAAGTGAGAAGATGGGGAATATTGGACCATTGGCTTCATTACATGTGTTTCTTCAGCTAATTTGGGGGAAAAACCCAATCTTTTAAAGGAATGAATTCAGACCCCTAGTTAGAAGAAGTAGAAGACGGGGGAGGTTAAATGAAAGAGAAACCATGATTCATGAGTCTCATCTAACAAAAGAGCGATAATTCCTTCCAACAGCTTCATGTGCATCAGACACAGTTCAGACTGAAATCATGAAGGACTTGAGGTTTCTGCTCTGCGGAGGAAGGAGTTTTTTTGTCTCAGTTCCTCACTAGATTGTCTCACTGTGGAACACTCCACCACTGCTATACCACATGTGACAGTAATAAATGGTCTCGTCTTCAGCCTGAAGGTTGGTGATGGTTAAGTAGCCGTTGTTCCCCGATCGGGTTCCTGTGAATCGGTCTGGGATCCCTTCTCCCCTGCTGCAGCCATCACAGTGCACAAAGCGAGGGGATTCGCCAGGTCTCTGTTGAATCCAGCCAATGTGGTTTGGAGAACTGCTGATGGCACAGGAGAGTTTAATGGCCCCTCCTGGAGATCCAGACTGGGAGACAGGCTGAGTTAAGTTGGCTGTGAAGTGGCACCTTTACAAAGTGGGGAAAAAAGAGGAAAAAATAAGGACCTGTAATATTATGTGGGCCTCCAAAAATCCCAGAACCCTCCTTTGGATGGACCAAATTGGATTTTATATTGTGCTAATGAGAGAGTGTTTATTGGGCAGCTGAAGAAGAGATCCTCCACATACTTACATGAGAAATAAGTAAGAAGGGAAAGGAAAACCAGTGTCCCGGCCATGGTGCTTTTCTTCAAACAGTGTCCCTTCCTAAAACCAAGGAATATCTACCTGGGATCTTTCTGTCTTCTTACATAAGTCCTCCTAGAATGGAAGGAAGATCCATGCAAATATAAATGCACTGATTGGCTTTCTTTGAATTAATTTTGCCGAATGAGCAGAGGACATATTTGCATAAGGGGAAGGGTCAAGAAGATGCCTTTATTTAGTTCATACGGTGGGAAATTTTTGGGAAAGGCATTCAGAAAGGATGAAGTCAGGATGGGGATTCGAGGAGGACCAGTTCTATTAGAAGATAGTCTTCCGCTGCTTCTTCTTTTTCCAAGATGAGTGTGTAATAGCTTCATAAACATAATTCCTTGTGCACTGAATGATAGATGCCTCTATGCTTCCATGAGAAAAAATTAAAACAAGAAAATAGAAGACAGTGTTAATAACCCTTCTAATCACCACGATATGGCAAACATCTTGAGATGTTTCCATCAGAGCTGAATTGGTATGGTTGTAGACTCCAAGGAGAGGCTACGTCCAATCTTTGCCCTCATTCCATCTGGTGCTTTGCTTCATTTCTAAAATGTCTTGTGAATTGGGACCTTTTTTCTTGGGGTGTTTCTGGATGCAGAGAAGAGGAGAGAGACACGAGGAAGGGAAGAGTCCAGAGAAGCTACCTCCAACCTGATCTATTTCTCCTGCATCTATTAATTCATTCATAGGATTCAACTGTTTTCAACAGCAAAGTGTTAGTTAACATAGGGAATGAATTATTAAAAAAGTGAGAACTATAATGTAGGTAGGTCCATGTTAACATCCCCTTACACTCATCGATTTCATCTTGAGAGTAAAAGAGTGAAGGATGTTTTTCCCCTTATATTTGTGTGTCATAGTGGGATTCTTCTTCGGGATGATGGATATTTTCGTCCATCTCTGCCTGGAAGAAACAGCCTGCAGAGCCGATTCATCAGATAAGGGAAAGAACCACACAACCTTTGAGCAGCTGTCTGCTCTGCAAAG